AAAAAATAATGTAGTAAAAAAATTTTTTGAGAGTGGGGTGGGGAGTGGGGGAGGCAGTACTGGGGTTTGAACTCAGGATCTCACACTTGCCAGGCAGGCTATTACTTGAGTTACACCACCAGTCCTTTGTGTGTGGTGTGTGTGTGCTGGGTATTTTTGAGATAGTGTCTTTTTTTTTTTTTTTTTTTTTGGCATGGGCTGGCCTCAAACCACAATCCTCCTGATCTCTCTCTGCCTTTCCCAAGTAGCTAGTATTACAGGCATGAGCCACAGGTGGTGCCTGGCCAGCAAAACCTTCTTTTACAATGTTTTAAAAGAAGAAAACGTAATGTTGCAAATGTATAGCCTTGTTACATAGGTATTAGTAGATGCTCCATAAGGGCAGGGACTGTTTTTTTTCTTGCTCATAACTTTATTAGTAGTGCTCAGCACCACGCCGAACACATAGATGTTGAACATTAATGTAATTAGGGTGGACTGCACTGTTGTGAAACTAGCCACTTACAAAAGCTATTCATGGGAGAAGGCACTCAGTAGTGAGAAGAGAGGGCGGCATCAGGAAAACACAGTTGCTACCTTAGCTGACAGAGCTGAGTGTCTTGTAGTAGGAAGAGGGCAGCACAATGGGATAACTACTTCGTTCTTAAAGACTGTGGGATTCCTCAGGAATCCCCTGTAACTCTTCACAAGCCACCGCCCACACTGAAACATTCCCTTGGACATCTCCACAAATGTTTCCTTGTTTCCTTTCTCCTGACATGTGGAGCAGACAGCAGTTCTTAGAAGGTAGCAGCAAAAAACTTTACAAAACTTTTCTTGCTGCCCAATAAATGGCTGTCTGTGGATCGGCTTTGGGTGGCATTTATTATGTATGAAGAGTGATTTTAATGAGATAATCTGTAAACTCATTCTAAAAATGTAAACAAATTATTGTTAATTATGGAATGGTTACACAGACATGAAGGGCTGGAGGCAAGGGACTGTAACAGAAAATGGGCATGATAAAAACAGCATCTGGGCCATACAGCTCAGTTGGTTAGGAGACAAAGTCAACAAAGTTTGTTGGTTTAATTCTTTTGCCAACCAAGTATTTTATTTAGTGGGAAAAGTAAATTCTATCATTGTAGACTCCATCTTTAATCCTGGCTCATCATTTGCACTGTTCCTCAGGTGAACTCAAGTGAAGAATAGAAAATCCATTTCTATTCAAGGAAAATAAACTACTGACCTGTCAGATAATTTTCTAGGAAAAGCAGCACATTTGGCAGGAACATAAAGATGAGTATCAAAAAAGAAAAAAATATAATCTGATTAGCAGGTTGGTTAAAAGATGTTTTAGGGATCTCATTCTTGCCACACAGATGTTAAACAGAGGTTTAACATCTCTATTTAAACATTAGTCTCACTGGAGACATTCATACCTATGCTGCATGTATTTATTCTGGACTTCCTTAGCTTTAATCCTCATGGAAACTGCCATTGTCTTGTTTCAGAAAAAGTGGATGACTTGTTAGTATTTGTTGGTCTCACTGAGGATACTATTGTGAATAATAACTAATTTCCTAAAAAGGGCATTCATCAACTATGCACTTATTAGAATGGCTCCAACTTAACAGATACTACTGACATGCGAATATATGAACATGAATTTAAAGGGGAAGGGTAATCTAATATTTCCATAGTTTATAATGAAATATAATGAACTGATAAATCTAGAAAGAAATTGGGTTTCAGTGAACTAAAGTCTAGAACTGCAACTTGTTCAACTTCCTATTTGGATTTTTGAAAATATCCAACGTATACGAATTTTAAAACAGAAAACTTCTTAGTCTGTAACATTAATTTGTCATATCTACATGATTTAAAAAATATCCACTATTAAAAAGAAAACAAAACAATGTAGAACTTAAAGGGAAAATGGAAGGAAAATGAACTAAGAAATATGCTTTAAAAAAAGTCAAAGAATATGATTAAGATAAAAAGGAGAAAAGCAGAGGGCTGGAGTGTGGTTCTGTAGCAGGGAGGAGGACCAGAAGAAAACAGACTAGGCCAGAGTTCTGACAAAGTGGCAGGGAGATAGGGTTGGCATTGTAGAGAGATAAAACCTGAGGAATCTGAACATGGAGAGGGTCACATAGCACTGGGAGAGGAAAGTCATGTAACACTTGAGTAAAGTAGCCAATAAAATTGTAATATAACCGTATGTGGATTAGGCCTTGCTTTTTGCTTCTGTAACCTGCTTGCAAGAGTATATAAGGTAAGACCCCTTTGTTCTTGGGCTCAGCTTTTGGATATGAGTCAGCTGGATCTGTGCTGCACAATAAAATGTTGCTTACTGCTGAACTGCCCTCAGTGTCCCTTAACTCAGCTTGAGATTCCTGCAACAGTTTAAGTGGTACTGCTCTTGCTTTGCGAGCGTAAAGCCCTGAGTTCAAACTCCAGTGGTACTGGGGTCCTGCCAAACAAAACAAAAATGGCAGGATAGGAATGCAAAAAAACAAAGGACAGTTTTTGTTATGATCCTGAAGTTCTGGGAAAAACATCAGAAGCAGAAGTTGGTTCGAACAAGACCCAGTCTTGTAAGTAATGTGCTTCTTAGAAATCAATCCAAACTAGAAAGGACTTCATTTCCCAGGTTTTCTGGAGTTCTAACTCTTTCTAATGTCTTTGCTATGGTAATTGAAAGATTATGTGATTAAATACTTCTTTTACCACATTCATCATTTTCTGCTGAAGGCCCCAAGTATTTTAATGAACTTCACAAAGTACTATGCCAGTCAAGAATATGTCTTGAAGAATATGGTTAGGTGATATTTCTTTCTTCTTTCACTCATGAAAAAGATACTAGTTAAATCTACAACAGGTCTTCACTATATACACACACATGTGTGTGTGTGTATATCTAAGTGTGTGCATATATATAACTTTACAACACATTTTTTCTAATTGATTTTGTTAGGTATTGGTTTATAATTTTTAAGTCTATTAAAAATTGTTCACAATACTTTTTTCATTTCTGATAATATGAAACTATGAAAATACTCAAACCCTTAAACATTCGTGTCAGTATTTAATAAATAATATATTCTTTTAAAAAGGCCTTATACTTTTCAAGTGTAAATACTTCAGCATATATCAAGAGCTCCGTTCTAAGTACGAGATTTTGCCAAAAGCAAAAGCACTCAATATATAATTTTAATAATGAAAACTAAAGTATTAGAAACCAAGCTGTGTGTGAAAAAAAAAAATCATTTAGGTGAAAGGGTAACAAACATTCAATTCAAGAATAATATAGCCCTGAGGGAAAATATGCATATGAAGGAAGTTTATGAAATTGGTTCAAGGCCTCTGCAAAGAAAAATAATTAGTTCATTTTAAAGCTGCCTATAAAATGTTTTTCAATATTGTAGTATGAATTATTTATAGAAAAATGTATGTCTAAACTTAAAGCTACTATTTTATTGAAAGACCTTAGTACTATGAGAAAAACTAAAAATAAGAATATATCATTTCATATATGTATATTTGGATGATTCACTTCTAATAATATGATTTCCAAAAAAGTTAAGATTATCTACCTGAATTGGTAACATTTCATTCTACTCTTTTTCAAATTTAAGAGATTAAATTGAAAGCAAGATATCACTAACATTTTCAATTTCATACATATTATTCCTTAAAGTTAACAAATATATGAAGATGCATTCCTTTAAATCATGACTGTCTAAGCTTAATAAAATTTTTGGTGTTTCTGAAGTTGATGCAGAATATTCTAGGGGAACATCTGATTTCAGGTTTTACTATAATTGCACTATGTGCATTGTAAAAAAAAGTTCAAATGGGTTCACAAGACTTCTATTTAGACTATTTCTTTTATTTAATTTTCTGACCAATAGTTCATGTGGCACAGACTCTAGGGGAGGCCAGTGTTTGAATACTGTATATAGGCCTATCGTTTTTTTTCTTTTAAACTTTTCTTGAGAGAATTTTGAAATATATTGTGACACCATTCCTCCCCCAAAAAAATAGGAGATAAGTCTTATAAGTCCACACTCAAATTTAAAAATAAAAGAAAATAATTTTTAAAAGTCACTCCCGAATACCTCATAATTTTAAAATTAAAACCAAGAAGCCCACAGCAAAAGTGTACTTTACCATGTCTTGACTGAGGAGCAGGCATTGAAGCACCAATGACCAAGTGAGTTTCTTAACTCTCTTAGTTCTCAGTCAATGATATAGCAAACCATAATCTGATCAACTAGATGAAAACCTAAATTCTCCCGGAACAGTATCCTTGTTGTTGTACGTGAAAATTACACACAATAATGCTAAATAACTTTACACGAGAACTGTCAACTTCTGAACACTAGAGGGCAGTAAAGCACTAGAAGGAATATTTAAATTATAGATCTAAAAGCGGCAAAGGCAAGTCTGTACATTATTTTTTTGAAAGTAAAAATCATAACAATTTAATGAATTTATTCCTTTTTAAGTTGCTGAGGTACAATGTATTCTCTAGTGTGTCATTTTGGTATAACTTACTTTGCAAAATCCAAATAAGAAATGTGTCCATGATAAACCCTGGTTTCATCTCTTTCCAGGAAGTTATATTCTTTACAAAACGCACCTAAAAAAGAAGAACACGCATTACTTTAGTACAATTTAAAGAAAATGAAATTTTATGAGAACAAAATAATTTCCACTTAGGAACTTAAAACCAGTCACACCGTTTTAATGATTATGGAGCTGGATATACAGGTTTGGCCTAAAGAAAGTATAGTGTAATCTGTAACTACTAATTTATCATAGAGTTACTATCACTGCATTCAGAAAAAAGTAATGATTCTGAAATTGAAACTGCACAATGCAACCATTTGCAATGCTGTATACAGAGTACACTTATTTACATGGGGTGGGAGGAGGGTGGTGGTAAGTGTATATTTACCTCCTACCAACACACATACTAAAGCAAGCAAGCAATACAGGCACATTCTATGCATATTAAATGTTTTCTCATGGGAGGTAGGAGGGGGAAGGCTGTCCAAACAATGTATACACATGTAAGTAAATGTAAAAATGATAAAATAAATTAAAAAAAAATAAATGTTTTCTTCTCAGAGGCACATTACTCAAATTCAGTTTTACTCATGATTCAACAAAATTAGTACTATGATCAAAATGATTAAAGATGATGCTTATCATCTCTTTAAAGATTTTTTTAAAGAGTTAAGATCAGACATAAGCTTGCTAATTAAAATATCAATAAATTAGAGATGTAATATACATCAAATAAAAATTTTAAAATATTTAAGTATTTCTCAATTTACTGGAATTGAAAGTATACAATAGGTCAGTTAATAGAAAATATGCTGAACGTATAAATATATTATTTTAAAAGAAGTGGTTAATGCAGAATTTGCTAAATCTAAGTATCACCAGCTAGCTACCTAGCTATGATATACAGTTTCTCAAAGGAAAGTGTATAGATTTTTGATAAGCAAATCTCTTCATGATAAATAGCATGTGGTTAAGGATCTCTTCTGGAGACTAGATAGAGTGCAGTGAGCATGGGTGGTGAGACTCATCACTCAACACTGCATGATGACATCTGCAAGCCATGACACAGTCACAAGTATGAAGCTGCCAGCAACATACTTTGGACAATGTTATCAGTCTTTCATATTTACATTTTAGAAAACAGGTAGTCACATGGAACTATTCTTGAGCACTCACTACTAGATTAGTGTCATTAAGTAAACTGCAATGAATGAGGACAGCTGCTTTCTAGATAAGGTCTATTTATTGGAAGGCAGCTGTGCTCACCTCTATACCACCAAAACACTCATAGATAAGGCCTACTGGAGGAAGGGCATGGAAGGGAGACTGCAGGCAGGTACAACAAAAACAGAAAATCAAAAAAAAAAAAAAAGGTTTTAGAATTTATTTTTAAGGGGAAGCATATACTAAGCATATACCCATACACTAAGAGAGGTGACAATACTAAGAGTCACATAAATGTGTTATTTAAAGTCCTCGTGTTCTTTCTTATTCAAATAAGACACCAGAGAATGAAAATACCAAATGACAAATGAAAACAAACAAAATATTAAATAATCCAAAATATTAGATAATCCAAAATCTGCATCCTTAAAGACAATTATAATTGAACAAGAAAAGTCCTTACAACTGGCACATAATGGTCAATTACTCCACATAATCCTTTAGTTCTATGAAAATCAGATTCAGTATTTCAGACAAAAATAAGAGGGAAATAGAAAGTAAAGAGAATAAGAAGTTAGAGTGGTGTTTAAAGGGGGTGATTAAGTCATATTTAGCAACTCAGCTCTGTTCTCCAGAAGCTGAGATTTCATGTGGACACAGTGGTATATGAGGGATAGGAAAGAACATCATAGAATGAGGTCTGAGAAATGCTGTAACAGAAGCCAAATGTTAGAGAGACCCATAGTACAAATATGGCGTATACTGTGGTGAAAGACTAGTAGAAATAAGAGTCAGGTATAAACGTCAAGTATTCTTTTTTTCTCCAACCTTCCTAACAATGGTCAGTATTACAATAAACAGTCCTGAGGACGAATGCTACTTCATCAGATGTGTCAGCAAGGTTAAATGGTCATTCACACTAATCTGGAAAACAGTTTGAGCATTTAGAAGTATAATTTACATATTTCCAAAATTTCACTCCATATTTCTCTCTTCTTCAAAGCTGTTTTCCAAAGAAATATAAGCAGCCATGTGAAAACAGTATTCAGAAAAAAGGTTTTCTTTTTAAAGTACTAACTTACTTCTCCTTTTACATCATGTCTAATATCTGTTCTCTTAGTTCTACAAAATCTTCTGTCTCTACTCTTTCACCTTCATTTTGCTCTGTCATCAATTCAGTCCCAATTCCTTCTATGTTGTTTTCTGCCTTTTTGCTTCTCCTGCACTACTTGCTTTATTGTGCAGTTGTTTTTTTTCTGTTTCTCTACACTGGAGCATTATGCCAAGACCATGACATAAGACTCTGGAAATGCAAAGGAGTAGGAAGAGGAAACAGATTAGGTGAGCCAACTTCAATTCATTTTATGGATTCTTACTGACTTCATTTGGCACTAACGAAAGGGAAAGTTAGAGGTAAAAAGAAACAAAACCTAATAATATCAAATAAAGTTTAGGAAATTGAAAATTCTGGCTTAGGGAGAAGAAATAAAGCCAACACAGTGACTTTATTCAAGCAGAATTTTCATACTCAGATTGAAATATGCTATCAAGATACAAGGATGGCTATCTTGATGACAGTTAGATTATAGTACATGACAATACTGTTTTTATGGTTAGCCTGGAGCACACCCTAACTGTGATTTTGTTAGGTTTTCTAACTCAAGCAGAGTCAGGATAGCAAGTAATCAGAACGCACCTTAGGGAATGCACAAGCTGTGTTGGTAGTGGTGCTGTGTCTCCTTCGCTTGTTGAATCAGAAGGGAATCCGTAGCTTAAGACAAAGGGTAAGAAAACACCACCTCACTACAGGCCTCCTACATTTTTAATAGATTAAAATGTACGCCACAACTATGATCACAAAACAAAACAAAAAAACTATTTCCACTTTAAAAAAAAAAAAGTCAAATGTCATCCTGAACATTCTGGCCAAATTCCAACTTTGTAATCTATTGAATGAATATTACTATTTGCTTGAGTGGTTACTATATACCAAATTTATGCATTTGCTTAACATAAACATGTTTTGAGAGCTTGTTTGGAGGTTCTAGCAGGGAGCGCAGCTACTCGTATACCCTTGACCGAAGAACGGTCCTCCTCTATCGGGATGGTCGTCCTCTTCGACCGAGCGCGCAGCTTCGGGAGGGACGCACATGGAGCGGTGAGGGAGGAAGGGGACACCCGCCTAGCCAGCCAGATCAGCCGAATCAACCCTGGCGATCAATGGGGTGACAGATGTCGCAGCCAGATTGCCCTCACATCCCATAAACATGTTTTGGATAGCCATGGATACTTTTATGAGACTAAACCAGAAAGGATGTTTTCTATACTACAGGGAAAACTGTAGCAGTTAGATAAAAATATAAGTTCAACAATAATAAAGGATATCATTACTGAAGCTCAGAGTGGTGGTGTTCAACTTTTTTTTGTTGTTGCGGGGGAGTCCCAAATCACCTAAGAAGTAGGAGGCGTCATATTACCATCAAAAAGAGTGGTTCACTCTGCCAGTAATTATGATCATGGTGTCATGCTCAGTGAAGAAATACTATTAGAATCTAAACTGGCTTGTTTGTTCATTCATCATTTATGTAACAATAAATTTATGGAGTATCTACTATGTCTCAGCCACTATTCCAAGCACAACAGATACAGTGGTGAACAAGACAGACAAGGTGCCTGCTCTTAAAGAGCTCATATTATAACAGAGGAAAAGACAGTCAGCAGTAAAAACAATGTGTAAAGTAACATTATAAGCTGATTAGTATTATGAATAAAAGTGACACTGTTTCAATACTCTGGAAGAGGTTTTTTATATATAGATGACCAGTTAAGGTTTTTCTAAGAAAATGCCATTTAAGTTGAAACATTAAATGGATAACACAAAAATGACTGAGGGAGAAGTCAGGAGAAGTGTATTCTAAGAGGAAATGATAAGTACAGAGGCTTCAAAAAAGGCTGGGTATTTAATGAACTAAAATGCTAGTGTGACTAGTGGTTGAGAAGTTGAAGCAATGGACTTGCTAGATTAAAAAGGGACTGTTGGCCTAGGTAAGGAATTTGGATTTCGTAGTGGAAGCAGGAATATGTATTTAAAGATAAGTAAATCTTGGGAAGATTATGTGTCTTTTCAGATTGCCACTGACAATTGTGGTCTAGGTCACTGCTGTTCAAACTGTGCTTGAAGGGCCAAATAACATCAGTTTTGGTATCAAGTGGAAGGTTTTTAAAAATTCAGAATATCAAGCTCTATTTTGGTCCTTCCGAATCAAATATAACCAGGGGTTAACACACATGATAGGCTGACAGCATTCATCTGAAGTATTGCTCTGAAAAGTTTCTGTAACTCATAGCAAACTATGGGCTCTAATGCAAACCACCAGAAGTTAGTTTGAGAGTGAACTGAAGAAACAGACACACACATATTAATATATACACACATATATTGTCCTATAGAGAATGCAAATCTTAGATATTTTCAGCGTTTTAACACAGAAGAGTTAAACAAGATCACAGACCTAAACACATGATAGAAAAGATTTAAAAAACATCATAATAGATGTTGCCAATTACTTTAATGACAAGATGTTATCTAATGCAAAGATATTTTCATGTTCACAAAGCAAACTCTTTAACTAGAAGAGCTGACTACCTGTCTCTTGTCAGTTCCTGCCTGCCTGCCTGTCTGTCTGTCTGTCTATCCATTTATCTATCGTGGAACTGGAGTTTGAACTCAGGACTTTGTACTTGCAAAGTAGGTACTCTACTGCTTGAGCCATACCTGCAGTCAATCTTGCTCTGTTCATATTGCCCTGGCTGGCCTTGAGATGTGAACCTCCCAATCTCATCCTACCAAATAGCTACAATTATAGGCGTGAGCCACTGGTGCCCAGTTTAATTCGTTTTTATTAACCAAGTAGAGCCCAACTCAAAAATATAACTCTTACGACTTAATACACTTCATTCTAGTTACTTAGTTTCCTATGCCTTATATTCTCAAGTGTTAATCTATTTGTTTTAGCATTTCCTTTACTCCAATCTTTAAATTAAAAAAATTCTAAACTACAGAAAGTAGAAAGAATAGTACAGTCTACATTCATATATTCTTTACCTATTCACTAACATTTTGCCACTTCCCTCTCTCTGTCCACATACATATGCATGTACATACTAATTTTTTGAACTACTTAAAAGTAATTAGCAGATATGCATACTTCATTCTTAAATACCTCAGCATGTATTGTCTATAAGCAAGGACATTATCATTTTTAAATCAAACATCCAATTATAGACCATACATTGCATTTGGTTTCCATGTCTCTTTAGTCTCCTACAGACTGGAGAAGCTCCCTTTTCCCTGTGTTTGGTTGTCCTAACACTGATACTCTAGAAAAGACCAGCATAGTTGTTTTGTAGAACATGAATTTGTCTGCTTCCTGAGGATTAGGTCCATACAAAACATTTTAGTAAGAAACAATTTTGGTTACATTTTGGTGAGATTACCATAAAGTGATGTTTTTTTTTTCTTTTTTGCAGTACTGGGGTTTGAACTCAGGGCCTACACCCTGAGCCACTCCATCGGTCCTTTTTTTGTGATGGATATTTTTCAAGATAGGGTTTCATGCACTATTTGCCCAGGCTGGCTTTGAACCACAATCCTTCTGATCTCTGCCCCCTGAGTAGCTAGGATTACAGGCATGAGCCACAGGCATCTGACCTAATGTTTTCTTTTAACTGTACTCATAGTTCCTGTATCTGTTTTAGGGTTTCAAATAAAATATAAATAAGCTCCTTGAAAGATAATGGCCTTACTTTTTCTTTGGTATCACCCCCAAAGAATGCAGTATAATCTCTGTATATTACATACTCAATAAATAAACTGAACAGTTTTATACCAGACTAAAAATATTTGAGTTTTGCCTCTAAAATTTTTGAGAGAATTAGCCATGCAAACTGTTTGGCACAGTGTCTAGTATAGTATATACAGTGAAGGCAGATATTAAGCAGGTTAATCCGTGAGACTATGAATAGAGTATAGTCACCTATTATATCCCCATGTATTTCTATGAGTAAATTGGACTTTAAGTGGAAGCTTTGGATAACAAATTTAATAAAAATCTCTTCTTTCAAGTCTCACTTGAGTTAGATACTTATTAGAAGCTATTTCTTAGAGAAGAAGTCATTTAATTCCTATTTAATCAGCTGAGAATAATGCACTAGCAACAATGAAAATATGATATTAGAAGTATAATATATAAGACATGGTTCAGGGAATATTGACAAAATATGGTGAAGTAATTATAGTACAATTTTAAAAGTTTACATTTAGATGAAGCTTCCTAGATTGAAAGTGAAGTAAAAATGCAATCTCATATGTCATGAGGAGGAAAGGTAAATATGTTGTTTTGGAAAACTGCTTCTACATAGAACAAGGGATAAGTAAATTAGATAAAGTATATCAGAGAACATACGTTATATAAGTCATGCCTAATTAAGACCAGGTTTTGAACTACGAGCTGACATTTGGAAATATGTCAACTAATGTTTAAGACTATTCCTCTACTCTGCTTGACACAAACATGTTTAAGTGTTGGTCATTATGTAATCCAATTGCTTTTAAGACAGCATTTATGCTTCTTTTCTTCTTCTGTCCTACATATGGCTAACAAGCTACTGAAAGAAAAACAGAATCCTTATCTCATCCAAGTGCAACAAAGAAAATGTACTACATGGTGCCTATGAATGTCATTTTTGGTGAGCCTCTGCAGATTTATAGTTCATAAATAAATGGTTGAGGTCATTGCCAGATATTATATAGCTGCCAGAAAATTTTGTAATGCTGAACACAAAATCACTACCAAACTCTGAACAAATAAGTTAACATTTTTCTAAAAAATATTGCTGAGAAAATCTGAAATTCTTATGTGAGCATTAAGACATGATTCTTTTGAACCAAAGACTGCTTTTTCGGATATAGTGCAAGTAGATTTAAAACCTACTGCATACTGTACAAAAAACATTATTAAGGATGTTTGCCCTTGAGATATACAATATTGCATAATGAATAGCTTTTTATGACCCACTTAGCTAAAAAAGCTCATGTTTCTTCTATTTTACAGAATTATTTAGTTTGGCTGACATGTATATTTTTGGTTCTATGAAAAAAAAAAAAAAGAGAGAATCCTGCAGAGAGTCAAAAACCATATGGGCAGATGATATGCCACATTTACCATTTGCCATTTGCATTTACAAATAGCTGTCTGGCAAGAAGGCCAGCCTTAACCTCATGTGTTGATGCTACTCTCTTGCTTCGGTGTAGGGATTACAGCTAAGCTTAATAATGGGAAAATGGTCAGTTTTGTAATAATAAAGTTTAGCTGCTTTCAAACATATAAATACCTATACTAGGATTATACCAAATACCTTTCTAATAAGGCTATGGTATTTGATCCTAAACAGTGTTTTAAAATATTTTATTTTTATGAGGGTCAAATTCCCATCCTCTTCAACATTTATACAAAGAACTTTACTTATAAATATAGTCAGAACTTCAGGTATGGGGGAAATGTATGCTACTGCTGATAAAGAGATGAATAAACTAGATTCATAAAGATAATTTCCTCGACTTAAAACTATTTCATACAGTTATCTGTCCTTCTGCTTACCTAAAATTTTGTGACAATTTAAAGGCAAGATTTTATTAAGGATATAAGCCACAATCCCTATTCTCCAGAGGTTTACAGATAATATTACATAAATTATTGAAGATAAGATTCAGGAGCTTAGACACAAAATTGAGTGTAAGTATTCAATAAGTAGTTCTTAGCATCATTATTATTATTATTGTATTATTTTGCAGTACTGGGGGTTGAACACAGTGCTTCACGCTTGCTAGGCAGGTGCTCTACCACTTGAATCACTCTACCAGCAGTCAATAAATAGTTCTTTATCATGTGTTGAGACAATAGTTTTTGTTACAGGGCATCTTTACAAAATATTTCACATTTAAAAAATGGTACTACATTGAAGAACACCTACATTTTCTTCAAAAATTCAATTTGTTTACTTCACAAATATTTGTATACTGTATACAACAAAATACCATAGTCTTATAACCATGAAGATTATAAGACTATACAAAAGTTAGTTGAGATCAGTGTACATATTCCTTTCAAATACTTTATCCCATGGAGATGTGAAATTTGAAGATGTACCTCAAAACCTGTGTGCATTCCTTAAAGGGTAATTACCTGATCTTGCAATGACATCACTGGATTGTTTTTGGTAGTGTTGATGTGAAGAACATGGTATTTATTCTTTGCACATAGGTCATAGGCGATATTGGTAAATGAGGTGCTTGCAGTTTTGGGAACTCTGTTATAAATGATCACCATGTCATCCTCTTCATCTAATGCTGTGTCTTGCCGAGGTCCATCCATTGTGTGTCGTTGTTCAATTTCTCGGACTTCATGCCTTGCAATTGCTCTTTCTGCAAAGAAAAAGACAACTATGAAACTATAAGGAAGTTATGAACAATGAAATCTGGACTGTGATAAGAAAAGAGAAAAACAAACTAAAGAAAATGAAAAACAAAAGCAACGGACCAACTCATATAGGAAATAGGGTGAAATTGAGTTTTTGAGAGGATAAATCAGTTAATTCTAAAAGTTTTAGCCCAGAAACAACATGCACATTCAAAACTGTGTAAGAGAAGTTGAAAACCGCTATGAGGACCAAAGTTTCAGGATTACTTTTAAAAAGGATAGTACAGAATGCATATCAAGAACAGACTAAACAGTCATCAAGTTGAGAACAGCAGAGACCAGAGAATACTTTAGAGCAGTTCCAAAGTCACTTTATGTTCTAACAGAATTTTGCAACCTGAATTAATTCTCAAGCATACAAAGAAAGACAGATTGTATGGAATGCTAAACTTCTCAGTAAAAATGCATTAAGAAAAGAAATTACCTATAATATAGCAAGAATTTTAAAATTTATAACTTAGGATTTAGTCACTCCCTGATTCATCAAAATTTATGAGGGCAACAATTACAAATGCTAATATGACTTTAGGTAACAAGATCAGAAATACCACCAACTCCAAACAGTTTCTTTTTTGGGTGTTGCATGATATATAAACCCTGGCTGTGTTCATTCCTTAAAATGCCTTGTTCCTCTAATCCCAATCACTGGCAACTATGTGGTTCCAAAACCAGTTACATTTTACTTTCTATTTAATGTAAACTTCACTTTCAAAATTTTGTTAGAATAAGGAAGCAAGAAATAGAAGAAGGACAACGAAGAAGGAAATGAGGGGGAAGATATCTTTAAAAAGATTATAAGTTACTGTAGACAAGGACAGTTGTTCACACATGGTGTGTACTAAATCACCTTATCTTTGTATAAGATGTCTTACCTGCCTTTAACACTCTTCTGTTCTCCCCTTAACTCAATCCTGCTAGCTCCTTAATCTTTGCATTTGAATTCCATTACCACTTCCCAGGAAACCATTTTCTGATCTCCTCAACTAGTTTGTCATGTTTGTTTTATTTATCCTAATTGTGATTTTTACATTATGTGTGGTTATTTGTGTCTCCCTCCTATATAGCTGGCAATTTAATAAAGTGATAAGAAACAGCAATGTAACATAATTTCAAATTTAGGCTTCAAATATTGTTGGAGCACACATCTTAAAATTCTGGTTCAGCAGATTCGGTCACCATGTTGCGCTGAAGATTCAAATGCAAAAGACTTGAATTAAAAGTTCTGGGCTGCTACTTACTAGCAGTGTGCTTTCTAAAATAGCGGAAGAGCACATATGGTATATGTATATATGTGTGGGTATGTATATATATATAGATACCTATATATATATATATATACACACACACACACACACATATAGGTATCTCTCTACACACACACACACTCTTTCTTTTTTTGGTAGGAAGATAGGAATAGGGAAAAATAATGAGCTTAATGCTAAACACACCACTGAACTGCTTGGAAAATCCAGGAGATGCTATGCATAGGTCTAGAGCTGAAAACGAAGGTTCTAGCAGAAGACAACTGGGTATAAACCATGAGGATGGATGAAGCCACTTACATAATACAGAATATACAGCATGGGGACCTCAGGATAGACTTAGGAAATATCAATATTTAAAAGGCAGGTAGAATAAGACAATCCATAAAAAAGGCTCAGAAGAAACAGTCAGAGAAAGGTGCCATGAGAGCCTTTTAAGAAGTGTCTACCATAATATTCTTCAAATCAACACTACTTTAAATATAAACTTATGGATAATGCTGATATAGATGCTATGAGCATCACACATGCTTTGGAAGTTGTCTTAGATTAAGTTCAACAAAAATTTATTGAGAATCTATAAACATTATTTTGTTCAACAATGCCGTAAAATCTCAAACTGTTATCACACTTTAAAACATTTACGATATTGTTATGTCCACAACTAGAGGACCTATAGCAGTGTTGTTGACATTCAATTGCTCACAAAAGTGTGAGAGATTTCCTGGAGTCCAGATATGTGTGGAATTAATATTCAAAAATTCACTTACAGTCAACAACGCTGAATTTATTACTCTCACTAGTTTTTTTTTTCTTTTGAAACCAACCATTTGGAAAGTAAAACAGATTTTATATGTTACCTCATAAATTGGTACCCATTTTATCCATAAAAGACATGATAAAGAAAAGCTGTAATACTGTTCTTCTGATACTGTTACCCAAATCATTCTCCCTGAACTAATCACTATGGGGAATGACAAAATAAATTTTTTCTATATGCAAGGTTAAGGGATGGTCTCTGATAGTAAATGCTTTCTTTGTGGTTTTAGAGAGTCAATAGGAGATACTTGTAAGTTATGGTTATGTGGATCAGTCTATTAAAAAAGTTGACAGTGACTTCTTAAAGAATACACCTACAGCCATTACATTATATTGTTTGTTGTTCTTTTCGTGGTACTGGAGCTTGAACTCAGGGCTTTGTGCATGCTAGTCAGGTGCTCTACCAATTGAGCTGTGTCTTCAAAGGGAAGCTCAAGCTAGTTTCAAATTCATGATACTCCTGCCTCATCCTCTTTACCACAACTGGCCGAACCCACCTGTTGATGGAGGACTTATACCTCCACGTGGCAGTAACAAACAGTACCGCCTCTTCCTTGCTAGAGTAGTATCAGAAAAAGCCAACTGAACAGAAGATTTAAATAACAGACTCATATGTAATACAAAAATGTTTGAGTTTCAATAAAATACTGCTTATTATACTAAGAACCAGGAAGATCTTGAATTCAATAAATAAAGATAATCAAAAAAGACAACATCATTATGACATTTTAGTCAAAAATTATTAAAGATTTAAAGCAAGGCTGAGGGCATGTCTCAATGGGTAGAGTGCTCGTCCAGCAAGCTCGAGGTCCTGAATTCAATTCCCTATAACCACCAAAAAACAAACATATAAAACCCAAAGAAAGATTTAAAGAAGCTATAATAAACACCATTTAAGAAATTATGAACATGCTTGAGCCAAATGAAAAAGTAGAAAGCCTCATCAAATACAGTCTCAGTTAAAAAAAAAGAATATATAGCCAAACGCCAGTGGCTCATGCCTGCAATCCTAGCTATTCAGAAGGCAGAGATCAGGAGGATCATGGTTCAAGACCAGCCCGGGCAAACGGTTCACAAGATCCTATCTTAAAAACACCCAGCACATAAAAGGGGATGGTGGAAAGGCTCAAGTGGTAGAGCACCTGACTAGCAAAAGTGAAGTCCTGAGTTCAAACCACAGCAGTGTCTGGGGGCTTGGGGGAATAGAATCATGTAAAGAATCCAATGGAAAATTTTAAAACTCAAAATTATAATAGTTCAAATAAAAAAAGTTCAGTGGATGTGTTCAATAGCATAATGGAAACGATAGAGAAAAGTTTAGTGAACTAGAAGAGTAAAAGAAACACTCAATCTGAATAGCAGTAGGAAAATAAGCTGGGAAAATGAAAACAACAAAACAGCAACAAAAAAAGCCTTAGGGAAATGTGAGCTGTAATTGAAGATCTAAAATTAGTGTCATTGAGTCTTAGAAGGAGAGAAGAAAGAAGACAGGGCTAAAAATTACTCAAAGGAATTATGAAAACTACACATTTGGAAAGAGACACAGTCGTAATGATTCAAGAAGCTGAATGAACTTTGAATGATAAAACCAAAAGACAGTCATCTAGGTGAAGACACATCATAATTAAGTTTCTAGAAACAAAAAAAATCTTGAAAGTTGCTAGAGAAAATGAAGTCTTACATATAGATGAAAACTGGAGCTACCAAACATTTCTCATTAGCAAGCATGGAGTTAGAAGAAGTGGCACAATGTTTTCCAAGTGCTGAAATAAAATAATTCTATACCCACAGACAATAATTTTCAATAACAAAGGGGAAAGTAACTCATATGAAAGAAAAAATTTAAAAACTGTCACCAGAACTACCCTATAAGATTGGCTAAAGAAAAAAACAATGCAATGAATTTTTATACTTCCCTGGAGTTTTTCAAAGTATGTTTGACAGATAATGCAAAGCAAATACTTAAGACAATTACACTGTAAATAGAGAATAAAGGGCTATAAATGGAGGTAAGTAAGTTTTCTACACTTCACTTTGTAAAATGATATCAGTAAACTGATACACAATATTTATAAAATGAAACATTCAATGAAAGAAGCTTTACAAAAACACTCTAGATAAATAAAAGTATAATTAAAAAAAAACCCATGGGGGGAAAAAAAAGAACTTAGACTGAAGTTCTGCAAACAAATAAATAAAATATAAATTGAAGTAGTCTAAAAAAAAAAAAACCCATGGGAACACATAAGAAGAGAGAGATGCAAAACAAAGCCCTCTAAGACCCTTGAAAACAAAATTTTATTGTGTCTAACACAACAGAGGTGCAAGATCAGGGTTAGATTTGCCACCATCCTTTTGGATTTGCCATTCAAAAGCATAGCATTTCTAGTAAAAGATTCTTTATATACACCAATGACCATTTACCTTGACCTCTTACTTTTACCTGTCAATAATGCCTGTGCCAGGTATGTATCTTTAAAATGTAAAACACTATAGTTAAACATCACAGGTGCTGACTTTAAGCTTCATTCTTTTTACATTTCAATCACTTGAAATGAATACTCTGATTCAAAATGGGGAGTCCAACTAATCTGTTTCTTTTTCTTAAGCTTTACTAAGACATTCTATCTTAAATCATCTGTCACCTTTTTATATAAACTTCTCAAGTGAACTGTACCTATTTTCAATTTCCATGTTGTACAAATATTGAGTTACTGCATTAACAAATCCTGTTTATGAAGATACTGTATAAAGTAAACTCAGGGAGATTAATTAACACCTGCTAGGAACAAAGTCAGAATTCAAACTTTCATCTGACACCAAAGCTTACATTCCTAAACTTTCATCTGACACCAAAGCTTCAT